CGTGGGATTGGTAGCTGTCTGGGTTGCTTTGCTCCATGTGAGGGCGGAGATGGAACATCCGGAAGTCGATGTATCGATACGGATCGTGTCCGAACGCCATGACCACGTCGGTGAAGAGACGTACGTTCTGGCTGTGAATTTTGTCCACGAGGCGGGCGAGGTCGGAAGTGGAACCGAGATCGTAGTCAGGGGCAAAATAATGAGCGGTTGCGTAACCCCATTCTCCTGTTGACTTTGCGTCGGCTGCAGGTAGAAGCTCCAAAGCATTGATCCCCAGGTTCGCCAGCAGAGCTTCATCGTGAATGGCTGCTATTGTGGAAAAGTGGTCGCCGTGTGATTCCACGTCGAACAAAGCGGCAACGTCCTTGAAGGTGCCAATGTCGACATCCACACCACGGGAACCACTCCCGGCCTTGACCCATGAGACAGGCAGCTCGTAGATGACGAGATGGTTGTTGCTGGGGAGGGCAGCTTGGTTGGGGATCGTGGGCATCTCGGGCTCGCTTCCATCCTTGTCGCAAGGCCAGAGTTTTCCATCGCGATACTTGATCACAGAGGCGGGTTGAAGCGTATCACCTCCGCCCCTGGTTATCCGGTAGTCAACAGCAAAAGCCAGCGGATCCGTCACCAACATCACACCTCTCTTTTCCGGCGAGGTATCCCCAATTTCGTACCAATAGTGGTAGACCGCATCCTCGAGTGGCGGTGAAATCGCGCTGGGCGCAAGGAGCCAGAGATCGGTTTGGTCTGAGGAAAGGCTTAGAGGAAATCGGCCAATCTGAACGAAGTCATTGGACTTCTGATCGAGTTTGCCAATGATGAGAGTAGGCGAGGTAAAAGAGGGGCCAGAAGCAGGTACCCAGAGAGCAAAGCTCTCATGGCGAACGTTCAGGATGTCAACAGGATACATCGCTGAAGCTTTGCACAAGGCAGTGAGTGGAAGAGAAGCGACAAGATGAGAAAAAGGAGATGCGAGAGATGAAAGCAGTTGCAGGGAGATCAGCCCACTCAATTGAAGACAACGGGGCGCCTGGAGTCGATCAGCGACTGGATAGTAAAGTTGAGGTGGCTGGCTCGCTGTTCATGATCCTCACGCTCATTCAGGCAAGACCTCCCCTGCTCATTTTCAGCCGTTAGTGACATGCAGCGGCAACACCGACAACGGAGCGCGGAAGAGCAAAACTTCTCTGGTGTTGTAATTTTCACAAGCTGGTAGAAAATGGGCGTCTTGGGCAGCATCAATTGCTGCCCCTTTTCCATCCATCAAACGACGTTGTCAGGAGAAACCGATGTCCACCTTCGAATGGAGCCTTCACCAGATGACAGCTTCAGCCGGCGGGACGGAAACCGTTTCTTGGCAGACGTCCACTTCCAGAAGCTGGAAGCCCCGCTGGTAGCCGCGAGGACAACAACGTCACAGCACATAAAGTGCCCTGTGCACGCCAAGATCGTGGCGCCAAACCAATCTAGGTTTAGCGCTGGCTTGATTCTCCGACTGGTCCACTCGGCTGGCAGGAAGGAAAGGCAGGAAGAGCTCCACCACGAAGGCTCCAGCAAAGGCATTTTGTTTTGCGGCATTTGGCTTCTGCTTGTCTTTTCTTGCCTCGCCCTCTCCCATCCACGAGCCCGACGAACCCTCCCGAGCATCAATTCCTCCGTCACCGGTCGCAGGCACATAATCCACCAAAATGCTGTCCCGACAGTCCTCCAGAACGGCCCAGGTGAGTTCAATCGGCGCTTGCACCCCGCCACTTGCGCAATCGCGACGCCCAAAATCGCTCAGGGCGGTTTTGCTGATAAGCATCTCCAGCGGCTTCTTCGGGCAGCAGCCCAACCGTCGCAGCGCCTGAACCTGGCGCGCGGCTTTGCCAGCGTCCAGGACGAGACCCCCGCGAGCACCCTCCAGTCGGACCTCTTCAAGCCCACCAAGTACGGCGGCAAGTACACCGTCACCCTCATCCCCGGTGACGGTATCGGCGCCGAGGTTGCCGAGAGCGTCAAGACCATCTTCAAGGCCGACAACGTGCCCATCACATGGGAGCAGGTCGACGTGACGGGTCTGGAGGAGGGCAAGACCACGGGCCGCACAGAGGACGCCTTCAACGAGGCCGTCGCCTCGCTCCGGCGCAACAAGCTCGGCCTCAAGGGCATCCTCCACACCCCCATCAGCCGCTCCGGCCACCAGAGCTTCAACGTCGCCATGCGTCAGGAGCTCGACATCTACGCCTCCATCTCCCTCGTCAAGAACATCCCCGGCCTCCAGACCCGCCACAAGGGTGTCGATCTCTGCATCATCCGCGAGAACACCGAGGGCGAGTACAGCGGCCTCGAGCACCAGAGCGTCCCCGGCGTCGTCGAGTCGCTCAAGATCATCACCCGCGCCAAGTCGGAGCGCATTGCCAAGTTCGCCTTCAGCTTCGCCCTTGCCAACCACCGTAAGAAGGTGACTTGCATCCACAAGGCGAACATCATGAAGCTTGCCGACGGTCTCTTCCGCGGTACCTTCAACCGCCTCGCCCAGGACTACCCCCAGCTCGAGTGCAACGACATGATTGTCGACAACGCTTCCATGCAGTGCGTCAGCCGTCCCCAGCAGTTCGACGTCATGGTCATGCCCAACCTTTACGGCGGCATTCTGTCCAACATCGCCGCTGCCCTTGTCGGTGGCCCCGGTGTCGTTCCCGGCTGCAACATGGGCCGTGATGTCGCTGTCTTCGAGCCCGGCTGCCGTCACGTCGGTCTCGATATCCAGGGCAAGGACCAGGCCAACCCTACTGCTCTCCTCCTCAGCGGTGCTATGCTGCTCCGTCACCTTGGCCTTGACGACCATGCTAACCGCATCTCCAACGCCATCTACGACGTTATTGCCCAAGGGTAAGTTTTCTGATCAAATTAGCCGGCGCAGCCACTGACAATTCTTACAGGAAGATCCGCACCCGCGACATGGGCGGTGATGCCACCAACCACCAGTTCACCCGGGCTATCCTCGACTCGATGGAGAAGGCGCTGTAAAGAGATACCCACCTAATTCAGGAGAGCTGGCTCGCGTGACCTGTATGTAGATCCAACCGATCGCGAGACGCCAACCGCCACGACCGTGATTCTTTTCATGCGATAGAGGGGCAGGTGGAAGATACCACGACCGGACGAAGGATACGAGGAACGAGAAGGTTGGCAATCGAGGTAGATGGCACCCCTAGTGAGGGACATCCTGCTTCGCTGTACTGTACGGAGTAAAGTTGGGCTATCGGGAATGCATTGTTTTGCGATACTGGTTGCGTTCGGATTGTGGGAGCTTGTGTTTCTCCGTGTGAGGTCTGGCGGACGGCTGCTCGCTGTATTTTTCCTGCGGTTTCAGTCGCCACAAGCAACGCAACGGAGTCAATAGTGGATTGACTGACCTCGGGAGACTGACATCGAGCAAGACGCAACTGATCAGGGGGGCGCATGCCAAGATAGATGATAGACACCATCCTAAGCTGAAGTCTGTAATCATCCAATCTCTGCAGGCATGTGGCGAGTTGGGATGAAGCAGGGTGGAACTCCAAATTGGAAGTGCCCAGTGGCGCAGCGGATCAAATCGGAATTTTGAACTACTGCCGATACTCATACTCTCAAATTACAGTCCTGCCTCCGAGCCAAGACCCGGAGGCCGGACCGGTAATGTTATACAATAAAACACCAACCCAACAGATCTAAACACTCCAACAACCTGTCCAGGAAATATATAAGGCAAACAAAAAGTCATGTCACATATCTTAGCATTGTGCTGATTCGTAACATGTCGATGGTGCACGCGCGTTTCATAACTTCGTCACTCAGAGCAGCAGCTTATCTTGTATAGTAGTGTTAGATCTTTTTGTCACTTCCTTCTTATTAAGACCGTTATATATCGGTGCCTAATCTTCATTCATGATACAGGTCTCTCTTCTTCCTCTTCTTCCATTCTTCTCTTCCTCCTGGGATCACCTCCCCCATGCCTCCTACCACGAATACCCCTTCTCGGGAATCGCATGTACAATATGCCAGAGCCATTTGCGGGAGGGGGTTCCCGCGTCCCCTGCACGGGGAGCTGGCTGTTATCGTGTCTTGGTGTGTCGGTGGTGTAGCCGTCACCTTGGTGTAGGTGATGTGGCCGAGGATCGTCTCGCAAGGTGTATATATTATTGATGGAATCACCGGTATTGTACGGATCTTTGCAGAAAATTACTTCAAACCAAATGCACCTTCTTTTCCCAAGGTAGGTAGTGGTGGCAATCTTTGCAGGTTTGCGCCCCCGCCACAACGGCACGTTGCAGAGGCGGCAGTATCCTGGAGAGTCTCGTCGAGCGTTGTTTCGCAGCACGTGGTCTTCAGGAACTTGAGCACGGGGAGCTCGTCTCGGGGAGATTCGGACACCGCAACCGGAATACTTTATCGAGTTGTGCCTCCCCTTGGTTGTGTCGAGGGCCGAGTTTCTGCGGGTCATCTCGTATGAGTCGCCATCTTCTGGGTCGTCGTCAAGGTCCCAGTCGGAGCGAAGATGACTAAGGACGGCAGCTTGGTGGCTCCGCTGCCCACATCACTACTCCCTGCCCTTCTCGTACCACTCTTGTGCCCGGTGGATGTGAAGCGACATACTCATAAGCCGTGATACTGCTGAAGCCGGATGGTGAAAGACAAAGTGAGCCGCGGGTGGTATCCGGAAGGGGAAATCGCGTCGTCGACTTGTGCGCATCCTCTCCTTTCCTGGACCATCGCTAGCCATCGCTGAACGATCAGCCGTCTCTCGCGTGCTTGGAGCGATCTTGAGCCGAAAACTTCCATGCGTCAGGTATGTCATTGCCGTTAAAGCTCACTGCTCTTCCCCAAGTTTCAGCATAAGGTTCGTCTGGTGCAAGCCGTCCCCATTGTCGGGTCCCCATCGTGGTGGAACCCCAACCCCATCACAAACCGTTCTGCATCCGTTTGGCCGCCACAGAGCAGAATAGACCTCCACAACTCAACAAAAACATCCATACGGCAGAGTAGCCAAGCGGTCTAAGGCGCCAGGTTCAGGTACACCTGAATTCTCATTCCAACGAGTGTTTCCTGGTCTCAGAAATGGGGCGCGGGTTCGAATCCCGTCTCTGTCATTTTTGCTTCGTTTCCGGGTTTCCACCCCTTTTTGCATGACCCAAAGATAGAACCTCGACCGGGTAGGTACCTAGGTAGTGGCAGCCATGTCTGGCCGGATCGCTGGAACTTCTTCATACTCATGATGCATGCAGGTGTGTGTGCCTCACATGACAACGCAGACAGAAAGACGGGCAGGATCAATAACTTCGTGCAGGCGGCGGGAAGCGCATTGCCGCCTTGCGGGGAAGCTGGGCGATCCCCCCTTTTGCGTCACCTTGACCGCGTCAAAGCTGCAGCCAGCCCATCCTGCGTACACGCGGTGAAGGAATGGGGTTAGAAGCCTCCATCAAAAGCACCCGACCACAATGCAAACATGGTTCCACGTCCCCTCCATCAACGAAGTATATTCCTTCGGCATCCTCTACGCCCTCATTAAAGCCGCCCTGCCGTGCTTCCTCAATCCTAAGGTAAGCAAGTTGGGTAGTATCGACCCAGGCTCCCGTTTTCGCCGCCTCTCTTGGCGGCATGTATGGTTGTATTTCGTCGGACTATCGCACTGGATAGCGTGGGAAATGGATGTCAACAACTCGCTTTTTCCGAGCTTGCAAATCCGAGAACTGGAACTAGGCAGACAGGCGCCTGGGCAAACTACCATGGGAATGTGTATATAAGTTTCGTTTCCTGTGTGTCGAATCCTGAGATCTGCATCATTGTGCATCTCTATCCTCGCAACCATCAACATGAAGCTCCTTCAACTACTTCCCGCCCTCGTCGTTGCCGTCGCTGCTGTCGACGTCAGATTCTGGCCCGAGCCCGGCTGCGGTGGCGGTTACCATATCATTTGCACAAACTTGAACCCCAACAGGTGCTGCGGGATAGCCCGAGATAACTGGGAATGGCTCAGCATCATGTTCTACGGCATTGATCCCAATTGGAACATCAACTACCGTGCTCACGGCGGCGGCAATTGCAACACCTTGGTGTATTCGGAGACGGTGACGTTCGGAACTTACTGGTGTCTCGGTCACAGCAGAGACCGCACGCTCACCGGTGCCGGCTACAGCTTTGTCGGCAAGCGATCCGTCGGGGATGAAGACCAGGAATGCGCAAGGGCAGATACGCTTGTGTTTGATGATGGATCCAAGTACAATTTGACTGCATTGGATGATGGCGCTTTCGACAGCATGTAAGTTCACCTCACCCAGCCCTCAAGACACCAATGTCTGAACTCTTGCGTTTTGCAGCATGAAAGATGTGGCCAATGGTGCCAAGCCAGGCAACGAAACCCTGGCTGAGTTTGACAAGATCAAAATTGAGTGAGCTGAGGTAGCAACTGGGCGAATAGGGGCTTGGAGTAAGAGAGTGTAGGGTGATCTTGTTCGAAAATTTAGGTAGCTAGACTGGATGATAGAGTCGATTTACCCTTCCGAGTTATTGCGTCATGTCAGGGCCTCAGGGCATCTGCAGGTCGTCGGTATCCTGGCTGGGCTGGCTGATGAATGTTTTCACCAAAAAGGGGTTGTCACCCTTTACCCCTCACCAACCCCACCCTCCATCGCGTAGTCCAACCTCGGGGTCGGATGCAGTCAGGTGGCAGCGTGCTACCGTGTGGTTGGGCAGCGCATGTTTGGCGGAAGCTTGATGCATTTTGGAGGGCAAGCTACCCCACTAGGGCTGAAGAAACGCAGCGGTCCTCTGTTCTAGGCCGCGCGGTTTCCGCCCCCGTGGAGATCCCGTTTCCTGGGTCCCGTCGTCGCTTCCCCAGACAATCGGTAACTTGAGCTGCCGCTAACCCACCAACATGACGCGCCCGAGACAGGGCAATCAAGCCTCACCGCCGAAAACTGATGACCCGGTCAAGCTTACGGCTCGGGTCAAAACACGATGAGCGAGATGTGTGTGCGACCACCAGAGTCGACCAAGGGCAAGCTGACCGAAGCCTGACTGCAGCATTCAGCTGAGCCCCCTTCTGCGATGACGAAAACCACAGGTCGACCAAATCGACGCCATGGCGGCCGTTCCCTCGTCTGAATGGACAGACCACAGGAGGTGCGGGGCGCATGTCAGTCCAACTGATCGCGCCTCTAGGCGGCCATTCCGGACTGGGCCTCAACGAGGGGTTCAGACTACGAGGAGGGGCTGTCTCGAGATTGTTGCCATGTCTACCTCTGCGTATAAAGGCCTCAGTGCGCCAAGCCGTGGAATTCGAGGAAATATCATTATCTTCACCATTCAAGCCAACGCCAAACACAACTGAAGAACCCAACCATGAGCGGAAACATCGCAATCACGGGAGTTCCGACCACTCCCGGCCCAAACGGGGCTGTTCCCCTGCGCCGGGAGATCCGCGATCTCCAGAGGAACTTCCCGGATCAGTTCAACCTCTATGTCCTCGGCCTCCAACACCTCCAGAGTCTCGATGAGCAACAGTTGGCGTCGTACTATCAGGTTGCCGGCATCCATGGCATGCCGTACAAGCCCTGGAACGGCGTCGGGAGCACCACCAACTGGGCCTCCAGCAGCGGATTCGGAGGGTACTGCACTCACTCTTCCATCCTCTTCATCACATGGCACCGTCCGTACATGGCTCTCTATGAGCAGGCTCTGTACGCTTCCGTCCAGACCGTGGCCCAACGCTTCACCGCTGGCGCCCTTCGTGATCGCTATGTCGCTGCCGCCAAGGACTTCCGTGCCCCTTACTTCGACTGGGCGATTCCGCCCCCTGCAGGGTCGACAGCCTTCCCGACGGCCATCGCCTCGCCGAATGTCTCGGTTGTCGATGTTGATGGCCGGACCAGGACCATCGTCAACCCCATCAACCGCTTCGTGTTCCACCCCGTGAACCCGTCCCCTGGAGACTTCAACGCCAATGTAAGCATCTCTCTCTGTAGCTGCCTAGGTAGAAAGCTATTGACAGTCATCCCAGTGGTCCCGCTATCGCGAGACAGTCCGATACCCCGACAGGTCAGGCCGGTCTCAAGACGCAAGAATTGCCCCAATCCTGGCCAACGAGTTGGCTTCGCTGCGGAGCAATGTCAGCCTCTTGCTGCTTTCTTACCGCAACTTCGATGCTTTCAGCTACAACAGATGGGACACCAACACCAGCCCTGGGGCCTTTGGAAGTCTTGAGGACGTCCACAACGAGATTCATGACCGTGTGGGTGGCGGTGGGCATATGTCGTCGCTCGAAGTGTCGTCGTTTGACCCCATCTTCTGGCTTCACCACATGTAAGTTTTCTTAGCCTATTGATATGTGGAGAAGACTGTGAATGCTGATTCGATGGCAGTAACGTGGATCGCCTTTGGTAATTACTATCCCTGCTTTGCCCGCTCATACAGCTTGAGGGAGTCCCTGCTGACATTGCCCAGGTCGATCTGGCAGGATCTTAACCCTACCAGCTTCATGTCTCCCCGTCCAGCACCGTATTCGACATTCAACGCGACCCGCGGAGGTACACAGGACCAGAACACCGCACTCTCTCCCTTCTGGGACAAGAGCGGCACCAAGTTCTGGACTTCGACCCAGGTCAAGGACTCGGCGACATTCGGCTACGCGTACCCCGAGACTCAGAAGTGGCTCCAGCCATCGACCGCCGCTTACCAAGCCGCTCTCCGCCAAACCGTCACCGCTCTGTACGGAAGTAATGTCTTCGCCAACTTCGTTTCCAACGTCGCCAGCAGGGCGCCGCCCCCGACTGCAGATGCCGTAGCTGCGGCCAAGCCGGAAATCGCCATGGCAGCTCTGAGTCTGGCTGCCTCAGTTCCCGTGGAGAAGAAGGCAGCTCCAGCTGCTGCTCCCGCTGCCTCCAGCGCAGATGCCCAGAAGCCCCTTGCAGCTGCCAAAGACCAGGCCGCCAAACCCCCTATCAAGGCTCCTGCTGCGCCGTCGGGTATGTTGATAGCCCCTTTTCTCCAAAGGAAATAAGCTAACGATTTCAGTCATCCCTGAATCCCTCAAGCACCTGGCCCCCAACAACAAGTACACCGAGTGGGTCGTCAACATCCGCGCCCAGAAGCACGGTATCGGCCAATCCTTCAGAATCCAAGTCTTCCTGGGTGATATCGACGAGAGCAACCCCGATGGCTGGGACACCGAATGGAACTGCGTCGGTCGTGTATCCGTCCTTGGACGCGCCCCCGAGACTCAGTGTGGCAAGTGCCGCATGGACAATGCCGAGGGACTGATGGTTTCCGGCACGGTACCCCTGACTTCGGCGCTGTTGCAGGATATTGTGGCCGGGGAATTGGCGAATCTGGAGCCTGCGGCTGTGGTCCCGCATCTGAAGAAGGACTTGAAGTGGAAGGCGAAGCTCTTTACCGGAGAGGAGAAGGCCCTTGACGAGATCCCCGAGCTGAGAGTGAGTGTTGCCTCGACGGTGGTGACGATTGGCGAGGATGGTCTGCCGATCTATTCGGGCCAGTACACGGTACACCCAGAGGCTACCGAAGGCAAGCCAGCTGGTTTGCGTCCGGGTGACCATATCTAGACTGGTCTCGAGAATTGGAAATAGGGGGAAGGCGGCAAAGAATGCTTTTGAAAGAAGATTTGGGTATCAAGATTGCAGATTGCAACCGAGTAGCTTTGTTTTGGTAGCGCGCGCGCAATGAAAACTCCTAACTCCAACCCCCCCCCCCCCCAATGCAACTGACGAGAAAAAAAAAAGAGGTGACAGAAATCAGAACTGGATGCGACGCTTCCGCCCAGTATACTTGGACGACGCCTTCACAACCTTGCCCTTCTTCTCCATCTGATCCTTCTTCTTCAAAATCCACGCTTTGCTCCCCTTCTTGATCTCCCCCCTGCCCGTCTTCCCCTTCCTCCTCGAATCCAGCACATCCACCCCATCCATCCCCTCCACCACCCCGGTGATATCCCCCTTGACGCCCGCATCCCCCACCGTCAACACCAGATAAATCTTTGCATTCTTCGTCTCGGGATCATCCTCCAGCAAGCCCGCGCCGAACCCCGCCTTGACCGCCGCAGACGTAATCATCTTCTTCTGCTCGTCGTTCTTGG